GTGGAAATTACCCATATTAGCCACTTTTATTCCTCCTATTTCATTTATGACTCACCGTCCTTTTTCTTTCACCTTTAACCTTTCCCCTTTTCAATTTTAACATTTTTTATTTCAAAATTGTCTAAACTTGAACACTCCGTATAACCTCACCTAATATCTCTCGGTTTCTCCTTATGTTCGTCACTTTATCTTTTCTGAAGCATGACCATTTCTCTCTCTCCAACCACCGGAGATGGAAGCCTTACGATTTCGATAGTAGCTCCGCTGCTTCTACGCTCTGCTGCCATCGCTTAGCTTATCGGCTCCGCCACCGTCGCTTCTCGGTTCTGACGCTGTCGCTTCTCGGATCTGCTGCCGTCGCTTCTCGGCTCTGCCGCAGTAGCTCTTCGGTTCTATCACTCCGGTGCCAAAATTAAGCAAAGGATGGATTGATTTTTGTAGGTCTTGAAATCCTTCAATTAATGTGCTCACAAATTTCAACGGAGCCGCAATCGGATTTGGGACTGGCGGCTGCTTCAGCCAAGGTGGGGTTTTGACCATATGCGGATGAATTTCCTAGGTTTTGGTGCAGGTAAAGATGTTATCCAAACAATTGTTTTACATACTGAACTCAAATTACTATTGATGAGAAATCAGGCACGAATACATTCTCCCAAATATCAAATGTTGTAATAAAGGCGGGGCTTATGGCATTGAAATAGGGCTTTGGCAGTTGCTTTGGCACTAAGTATAGGAATTCCAGGTTACATTTTCAGTGTTTTATGCATGATGGTGAAGATTATTTGAACCATAAAGATAATATCATTTACTCTGTACTAGAAAAGGAAGTTATTAATAGATAGTAATCGTTAGTGTTAATGTATATATATTTTTTGTTATTGAATTGTGCTTCCCAAACAATGATGGAATGCTTGTTGTGAGCATCTGTAACTAGAGATCCATCTTTCTTTGTTTTTCTCCTGTCCTTTTCCATATTATTGTGATTTATGAACCTGGTGTGATATAATGTTGTGGATTTTTAGGGTCAAGCTGCAGACTACAATAGGATCAGGGTAGAGCTTTGGAACTATATCTAAAGCAAGAGCTGAAAGTCACATAGTAAGACGCTAAAATTTTATTAGTGTGGATGACAAGTCCATCCTATCTATATTCCTTTGAGCCATTCCTAGTAAATCCATATACTTCTTTGTCCAAGACTTCTGTGATCGATCTTCTTCACTTTTCATTCCTTGGATGTGCTGAACTTCTAGAAGGGGATCTAACATGCTGTCACAGAACCATTTCCCAACTTTGTTTGTATTTCTTTGGGCTTCATTACTCACATGTGCATGTTAGTTCTTTAAAAGATGCCTATGTATTATTGTAAAATTCATTAGTTTATGTTCATTTTAGATGACCATCTGTACTATAGTATTTTCAAACATCGTGTTTTCTTCATCCCCTATTGTGTTTTCTCCACTGCGTCCTAATGATTGGGGAGAGTTGAACCTTCCACTGAATCTTCATGGACTGAAGAAGATCTCAAAGATCCAAAACGACTCGATGAAATGGCAGTCCTCTTTTAGTGCACAAAAAGATATTGCAGAGAAGATGCTGGATGCTCAGTGGCTAGCCGAGTGACGGGAAGAAAAGCTAAACAAAATGTTGGAAGAGAAGGTAAAGCCATATATTCATATTATTGAAAATGGTGTGCTTTTCAGACACAAAAGAAAAACCGCAGGAAAAGACGATGGTGGTTCTTTTGAAGATATATATTCATATATATAGTGTATTCTATAACACAAACTATGTTTTCTTGGCTTATCTAATCCCAAGGTTCTGTGAAGTATTTGTATTGTAAGTTTTTTCTATGTTAGTACTCTAAGGGATAAATCGATAAATTATGTTTGATCTCCACTCCTAAATTTGTAGTTTCAGAAAAAAAAAAAGGATGCTTATTTATAGGGATAAATTATGTTTGATCTCCACTCCTCTAGTATGTTATTTTTGTTGCTTTTTGTTGCACTGCACATGTTGCTTTTTGTTGCATTGGGTTGCTTTTTGTTGAACCGTGTTGCTTATTGTTACATTGGGTTGCTTTTCAGACAATGGTGTGCTTTTCAGACACAAAAGAAAAACCGCAGGCAAAGACGACGGTGGTTCTTTTGAAGATATATATTCATATATATATAGTGTATTCTATAACACAAACTATGTTTTCTTCGCTTATCTAATCCCAAGGTTCTGTGAAGTATTTGTATTGTAAGTTTTTTCTATGTTAGTACTCCAGGGGATAAACCGATAAATTATGTTTGATCTCCACTCCTAAATTTGTAGTTTCAGAAAATAAAGGGATGCTTATTTATAGGGATAAATTATGTTTGATCTCCACTCCTAGTATGTTATTTTTGTTGCTCTTTGTTGCATTGGACATGTTGCTTTTTGTTGCATTGGGTTGCTTTTTGTTGAATCGTGTTGCTTATTATTTTTATTGTTGATTATTGATTCCGACTTTTTGTCTATTTAGATTTATATTTATATTCCTTATACTTATTTGGAATAAAAATCATAGATATGCATTTCTGTGTACAAATACCTAAAAAGATAAATCTGGATTTATGAATAAACAAAAAGAAACACGAAGAAACAAAAAAAAAATCAACAAAAAGAAACACAAAAAAAACAATATGCACCAAAAGTAAGATAATAATAATAACTAAAATGTATGAGTATTTCATAATTATAAGTTTTTCAATTATAAGTTATTTTTCTTATTGCATTTTTTCACCTTTTTATTGTATTTCTTCAGATTTCTATTTTAATTTTTTTAAACATTTATACACTTGTTAATTGTCTTTAATTTACTGTTTTTTTATTGTAATAATTTTTTAGAACTTTATTTTGATTTTTTTATTGTAATAAAATCTCACAGTTTTACTTGAGAGCCTTTTAGAACGTTTTCAATCACACAATTCATATGCTTTAATTTTTTTTCAGGTTTTAAAATTTTTAGTATTTCTTTTATCTTAATTTTCACATTTTGTTTTAGAAAATATACATTTATTTCAACATTCGCTAAAACTCTTTAAATTTGTTGTATATTTCTGAAAATTTATAGTTTTTTTTTTGTATTTTTTGCTTTACTTTATATTTTTCTTCAATTTATATATTTTATTATGTATTTATTTTCGTTTTCTAGAATATTGTAGACTTTTTAAAACTCTTTGGTCTCTTTTTTTTATCGTAAAACTCTTTGGTCTCTTAAAAAGTTCAAATTACTTTAATCTGATTAATATGCTGAAAGTATTTTTTATTTAATTTGAAAGATTCATGATAATGTTGTACATACGTGTAAAGTTTGTGCATGCTGAATTTCTATTTTTTTTTTTGAAATAAGAATGAATTTGTATATTTATTCCAATCGTTTCCCCAAATTAAATTGGGTTAGTGTTAGTACGGAGCACCTGAAGCGGTGAGGCAGTCCACACTCCGGAGTGAAGCCTGAAGGCTATTAGTGAAAAGAAACGCGTACCTAGTCTATTTTTGAAAACAAAAGTGAAACATGACAAAAGTGATATTAATTTCTCATTTTGGTCTATTTATGATAATTTTCCCAATTTTTTTGGGTTAAGGCCTGGTACCAGCCCGGGATTCTACAGGGACCGGGCTGGGTCCGGGTCAGACCAGGTTGGGTCCGGATCGGACTAGGTCATTTAATTTCTTTTCTAGCTTTTCTAATTTATTCTTACCCCCCACCCACCCCCCAAACCCCGCCAAAACACCCAACCCAACCCACCTGAAGCGGTGAGGCAGTCCACACTCCAGAGTGAAGCCTGAAGGCTAATAGTGAAAAGAAACGCGTACCTAGTCTATTTTTGAAAACAAAAGTGAAGCATGACAAAAGTGATATTAATTTCTCATTTTGGTCTATTTATGATAATTTCCCCAATTTTTTTGGGTTAAAGCCTGGTACCAGCCCGGGATTCTACAGGGACCGGGCTGGGTCCGGGTCAGACCAGGTTGGGTCCGGATCGGACTAGGTCATTTAATTTCTTTTCTAGCTTTTCTAATTTATTCTTACCCCCCACCCACCCCCCCAAACCCCGCCAAAACACCCAACCCAACCCACCTGAAGCGGTGAGGCAGTCCACACTCCAGAGTGAAGCCTGAAGGCTAATAGTGAAAAGAAACGCGTACCTAGTCTATTTTTGAAAACAAAAGTGAAGCATGACAAAAGTGATATTAATTTCTCATTTTGGTCTATTTATGATAATTTCCCCAATTTTTTTGGGTTAAGGCCTGGTACCAGCCCGGGATTCTACAGGGACCGGGCTGGGTCCGGGTCAGACCAGGTTGGGTCCGGATCGGACTAGGTCATTTAATTTCTTTTCTAGCTTTTCTAATTTATTCTTACCCCCCACCCACCCCCCAAACCCCGCCAAAACACCCAGCCCAACCCACCTGAAGCGGTGAGGCAGTCCACACTCCAGAGTGAAGCCTGAAGGCTATTAGTGAAAAGAAACGCGTACCTAGTCTATTTTTGAAAACAAAAGTGAAACATGACAAAAGTGATATTAATTTCTCATTTTGGTCTATTTATGATAATTTCCCCAATTTTTTTGGGTTAAGGCCTGGTACCAGCCCGGGATTCTACAGGGACCGGGCTGGGTCCGGGTCAGACCAGGTTGGGTCCGGATCGGACAAGGTCATTTAATTTCTTTTCTAGCTTTTCTAATTTATTCTTACCCCCCACCCACCCCCCAAACCCCGCCAAAACACCCAGCCGGTTCCCCTTTTTCAGGACCCGTAGCCCGCCTCTAAAACCCCCTGGTTCGGGCCCGCTCGAACCAGTCCCGGTCCCGGTTGGCGGGCCAGACCGGTACTAAACAGTACCAGTTCGGGCCGGTCGAACCGTCCCAGTCCATACCTAACTTATAGGCAAACCATTTGATCTTATTTTGCTTATCAATAGAATGGGCAAGTGTGACCTTTGATTCACTCACTCATCGAACTAAAATCGATTTTACCAAACCTTGTTTCTTTATAAAAATTCATTGTTCAATCATTTCTGATAATAGACTGTTAATGAACAGGAATGAAGCTCAAAATATATCAAGGTTTCTACTGTTCTTGTGAACAACAGATGGGTAAATCAACTAGAAATAATATATACAATGGGTTTCTGACTGTCTTCGGAGGGTTTGATAACTCTAAAAACAATGACAGCTCTTTCCGGTAGAAGATGTAATTGTTACTAATAGATACAAGTCATGCAACTATATACATATAGTGAAAAGTGGATGATGCTCTTCCTCAGCTTGGTATGATTTTCAAGAGCTCAATATCGAACAACAGTGTCTTGTCAATTAAACCTTGGTTTCTCAACACAAAATCCAATGCTCTCTGACCCTATAAACATGCAAGATCAATATCTTATTAGATGGAAAGGATGAATAAGTTAATTCGATAACTCCCTAAAAACTAAAAAAAAGAAATTAACAAAAAAACAAAGTGTGAGCCGTCACTCCCTTGAAAAAACTTAAAATTTTGAAAATAAATAATAAACACAGTGATTGCTATCACTTCCCTAAAAAATACAAACAAAAAAACAAAAACAAAAGTGTGAATGACATAACTCCCCTAACAACAACAAAACAACAGTCTCTATAGTCAGATAAGAAGCTGAATTACCGAAAATGTCAATGGACTTGGACCTTTCTTGTTGAAGTCATTATCAGGATATCCTAACTCAGGGGGAACTATGATCCTGCATTAGTGAAAGTGATTAAATAAAGTAGAGTTTCCAAAGTAAAATATCTGCACATTAGCAATACTCGTTAAGAAAGAAAGAAAGAAAGAAAGAAAGAAGCTTGAATCGAAGTCTTTGTTACAAAAACTATCACTTGATTTCATTGAAATGATTGACTCATTAAAAAATCCTATTGTCAAACTACTTGTCAACATCTAGCTTGCACCTTGAGATGCCATGATGTGTAATGTGTTAGATACTTAGATGCAATAAGGACCACCCCCGGGTGAAATTTTTTCCTTATTGATTTTTTACTTGCTTTTACTCGTTTTTCATAAGGGAATATCTATTAGCTTAACCAGTAAGATCTCATACGATCTTTCAGTTAAACTCCAAAAAAACAATTGCAATCCCAAAGACAAAAGTTGGATTTTATAGATAAACTTTGCAATAAAACATATAATGTAATGATTGTAATCTGTTTCCAGAGCAACCATTGTAAAAAGATAGGAAAAAGGCTTTGTTTACAAGATTATATGTGAGATATAGAGCACCTTCTAATGCCACCCACAGCCATGCCACTAATGGCTTCTTCAAATGCAGGAATCACCTGAATGTGAATAGCAAGATCAGTCAACACTGTCAGGCCTTATTCCGTTTAGCTAGAAATTGTTAGGGAAAGAATATACAGGAAAATCCGGAAAGACTGAAAATTTAGGGAAAACAAGAATAAATTCCAAAATCAATATAACAATTTATGTATGAAGTATTTGTTTACACTCATCATTTATAAATTTCTATTATATAGAGACTGACATCAAAATATGTGTCATCATCATCACTACCCCAGTACGGTGGGGTAGGGGGGGATGTACGCATCCTTACCCCTGTACTAAAGCACTGAGAGACTGTTTTCGGATGAATCATGGTGAAAATCGCGTCGAAAATTGCATGAACTGATTGTTGCTTCATAACAAAGAAACACAGACAGTTTAGTGAGCCATTTTGCTTTATTCAATCATATTCCCAAGCCAAAAAATAGTTAATGTGTGTGAATTTGAAAATTTAAACTCAAGTTTATCTTCATATTTTCAAAAGCTAAACCAACATAAAAACATTTTTGCAACTCTATGTGTTCCAAAAATAGCCTTGGAGAAACGAAGCTGGGAAAACATGATAAGGAACCGAGTGCACTAGCATTCTATGTCTCAACCATTAAATGATTGTATAATGTTATTATGCATTATATGACTTGTAAATATAGGAAATAAAGTGGAATGTAAGCTTCATGAAACGATGAAAAAACACTAACTAAAGGATGGTACATCGAGAACTCAAGATGCCATTATTAATGACTGTTTATCCTTGCTAGCCAACTTACACAGCACATAACCACTACAATTTTTGAAAGAGAATATCTTACTTGGTCAGACCCTACTATGAATTTGTAGAAGTCCTTATCATCCCCCTGCACCATTATGAAGTACAATGATGCATATAATAAGTAGCCTGGCACACATTAACTAATGCAAACATTTCCGCACTAGTATTCTGAGGCTATACCTCAAAAGATCCACCCTTTGTCTTGTTACGAGCTTCAAATATGCGACCATAATATCCTATAGTATAACCATCCCAGTCAACCTAATGTGAAAATAATTTCAGAGATGAGCACTACTTTTCTTTCAACCAAAATAAAGCACTAGCAAGTGCATGGAATATATGCAATAAAATCGTAATTTGCTTTGAACGGCGAAATGGTAAACCAAAAATTAACCCGCAACCTAATAGGAGAATATTTGTAACCATGTCAATATGGCTTTCTGACACAAAATAAAAAATGACCATAATCACCTTAACACCAAATTATTTTAGGGTCAGTGGCATCAAATTACAGGGTCAATTATTTGTCTAAAGTGAGATACGCAATCAACACTACTAGTTGACTTGACACATAAAAGGACAGTGAGTCAGTGACAATGTTTTACGCTGTATGTCCACCCTCTTGCAAATACTAAAACATATATGGAGAACATGTTTACTACATATGTCCATTATATAAAGAATTGTGAACAAGTGAATAACTTATCTAACACTCTTCTTTTTCCCATCCATAGTATTTCCAAAATCCAAATATACACCATATGTATTTCTACTTGCATAAATAATATAGGGCCTCTTTGGTAGAGAGTGCGAATAAGAATCAAATCTCACAATATAATAATGTGAAGGGTAATATTTTCCGTCTGGTGTCCTATAATAGTATCCACCTTTAATTTTTTAAATTTCATAAATAATCTCTTGGATCACATGAACTGACCTATTCAATCCAAGATTCAGGATAAGCAAGCTTGGACAGGAACACATAACAAACTCTACAGCACACCAATCTGTCACTACCAAGGACTTATAACTAAACACACAAAAAAAACTTACACTAAACTGATGTCAAACTTGCTTAAACTGATAATATTTCTCGAAGTGCGCACAAAATAAGAAACACTCTACCAAATTTAGCCAATTAAGTTAACTTGGCCCGCTTAGGGGGTACGATTTTCCTTGAGAAGAATAGTTTCATGGGCTCTTTGAAAATTTTTCCATTTGCATTTCTGTAGAAAAAGGCTTCCTCTTTTTCTGAACTGCCTTCATTTTTGCTTTTTCTATGAGTTCATTATATTATGCATGTATTACAACTTATCTTTCAAGAAAACACTAGATGTTCTATAGAAAGTGATTTTCTAAGAATCAAATGAAGCACTATGTACACCGCTTGATATGACTGGACAACCACAGTGAAACACAGAAAGGCTAAAAGGGTACTATGTTAGTTACTTCATAAATAGGCATATAACATTACCAGCTTACCACCACTATATCTCCCGTCTTAGGATTGGGGCCACTTCCAACTTTCAGATCCTGCATGCTTTTACACACGAGTCAAGTTAATTTCTTTCCACACAAATAAACATAAGGCTAGAACATAATTATGCTTCGAAACAGGTGACCTTGTACTGGAGACCTGAACTTGTTTCTGTGTAGTCGGGGTAACGCATCTTTGACTTCCCATAGTCCTTTCCCCGCAATGCTGGCACTGTATATTCATAAGGGAACAATAGATGGGCTTTTAAAGCTAGTATAGGCATACATACTATCAAGCAATACACACAGACACACATATTTATGTATGTACAGGGATGAGAAATTTAAGGCCAAGAACCACACCGAATACGATTAGTCAGTTTGGTCAGTTTTTTCCGGTTGATTTTGGTCAGTTTTGGAATGTTTTGGTCGATTTAAGTCGGTTTTGAAAGATTTGGTCAGTTCTTATGGGCAAACATCAAACCATGAGCCAAACCACTATGTTTGGTCAGTTTTATTGGTTTTGGCTTTGATCAGTTTTGTGTGAAATATATATGTATGCGTGTGCCAAAAGCAAATCCAAACTCATGAGTCATGAATCACAGCTATTACATGCCTTTAAAGAAAGAAAAGTGAATGGTATTCTGAATTTTTTTTTCTTTTTTTCCTCATTGCACGAATATTAATAATAATGGCCTAAAAAGGTGAGGACAAAAATTAAGACATAAAATTGAAAGTAGGAATTGGAGTTACTGTCAGCAAATTGAGATGCTAATGCAGCTCCATTGCTTCTAGAAGTGTAAACAGCTGCTGCAAACAACCCAATGGACGACCAAAATAGCTCTCTTCGACGGATGGGAGGCGGGTTTGGACAACAATTCAAGCTTCCACTATTATCTTGAAATGTAAATGCGAGCGGGGGCATTAATCAAATCAAAATTAGGAAAAATCTAAGCGGATAAAGTAAGAGCAAGAAAAAGATATTCATAGACAAATAACGAAGACAAACCAGGCACAGAGCATGACACTGGGATACAGGGCTCCCTACCGCGTTCTCCAATTGAGAATCTGGGTACGGGGATTCTCCTTCTTCCGGTCTATTAGATGAGAAAATTGATCACGTAAGTTAATAGCTCAAGTTCTCGTGAGAAGAGGAGGCACGGAGTCCATTGATAAGGGAGAAACACTATTAAAGCGTGAGATTTGAATGTAAAAGAAGTACCGCTGGTTCTGAAGAAGAAAAAGAAGAAGTCTTTCGGGAGAAAGACTTTGGAGGCGGTCCGGCTACTAAAATGGATGATGCGGCCGCAGTCGCCGCCATGAACTTCAACGCTACTAGCGCCTAGTAGAGGTAACAGTTATTCCACGTAAGTTCGAAGAGTCTGGCGCATGGAAAATTGGCGGATCGTCCGCAGGTGGTTAGCATTCAGCTGTTAATGGTTAGCATTCAGCGATTTGATCGACGGATTAATAAGACTTTTTTTTATAAGACTGATTAAGGGAGTGTTTGCAATTGCTTCAACTTTAAAGAAGTGATTTTTTAAAGTGATTTTGAGAAAAGTGATTAATAGTAAAAGTTGGTAGTGTTTGAGGAAAAAGTGATTCTGAAAAAGTAAAAGTTGGTAGTGTTTGGTAAAAGAAGTACTTTTTGTGTAATAGAAAAAGTGAAAAGCAGTTTAAAGCACCCTTCCACCTGCTTCCAGCTTTTAGCTTTTAAGTGATTAATTTAAGCAGAAGCTGTCATTTGAAAACACTTTTTTTAACTTTTTTTAAGCCAAAAGCTGAAAAACACTTTTTTTAATCAAATGCAAACACTCCCTAAATTGATAATATAACATTCACCAAGGGACAAAAAAGATAAAGAAACACTTTCAGCCACTGACTCTCGAACCAGCCTGAGAATCAATCACCCTGAACAGAGCAATATAATTCTCTGATCCTACAGTGGGTCTAAATGAGTCTAACGTGACCAGAGCAGAACCCTCATCACCCCTACGTAATGTAAGAGTCTGACAAAAATAAACGTACATGACAAACAAAACAACGTGAATGTCGAAGTAAAAACACAAACAAACTAAAACGGAAATAAAAATAGACTTCCAAACCATAGTCGCACAATTCCTCCATGGCGGCGATTCAGGAGGGGGACAAATCAACATCTCTTCATCTTCTTTCGCCTAAAGGAGATCACCGCTACCCGCCCTGAATTCTTCCAATCCAAAATCTCCCCCCTAGGTGGTGGTTCGGGAGGAGGACGAACTGTCGATCTGTCTTCTCCCGCGATGAGCTCTTCACAATTTTCCGGCCGCTCCTTGCCCTCCTTCTCCTCCTCAAGAACCAAGTCTTTCCACGATTGCATGAAATCTGCCATGGACACTGTTGTCTCCTTAGACTCGCCCCCTGTCAGCATCGCTGGATGCTAAGGCAATAGGATACGCCGGCTGAGGAATAATCCTACCAATAAGGCACATGATTTACAATTCCACCTGTTAAAATTCGCTAAACTCAAGTATGTTCTTATGGGGTATGGCTGATATTCCACCTGAGAAGTTTGTAAATCATGTGCCTTATTGGTAGGATTATTAGTTATTGAAAAAATTATTTAAATAGGAATAAAATATAGAATAATATCACTATTATTTTCACTTTAAAATAGGACTTTTTTTGTAAGAACCTTAAAATCGGACTTATTGACTCAAATTTGGAAAATATTATGCCATCAAATGAACCGAATAACTCATCTTTTGCACAAGTATTTTTTTGTAGGACTTTTTTTTGTTCAATATGCCTCGACATTTATGTGGTGTTTGAATCTTCTTCTTAAAACATTTTTGCTCCTTTAAGAAGCAAAATTCGATGTTAAGTATTTGAGTAAAAGTACACAAATACTTCTAGGCATAATATTTGAGTCATAATATACAAAAAAAATACTTGTGCAAAAGATGAGTTATTCGGTTCATTTGATGGCATAATATTTTCCAAATTTGAGTCAATAAGTCATATTTTAAGGTTCTTGCAAAAAAAGTCCTATTTTAAAGTGAAAATAATAGTGATATTATTCTATATTTTATTCCTATTTAAATAATTTTTTCAATAACTAATACTCCTACCAATAAGGCACATGATTTACAATTCCACCTGTTACAATTCGCTAAATTCAAGTATGTTCTCATGGGGTATGGTTGATATTCCTCCAGGAACTTCAAAACTTCTCAGTTCTCATTTATTCTTCATCTCTAAAGCAAAATTTCTCATATGATCACAAGTATGTGAAAGATGGAAATATATTTAATTCGAATGCACATTTGAAATGTACATAGGACCAGCAGAGTTATCTGTTTTCGAAAGCAAACTCATCAACCATCATGCTGTTTATTTATACATTAAAAAGGCTCACTCTTCAAAATCCAAATCCAGCTAGAATTGCTACTTATTCCTCGGACTAAGTTCAAGCCTTCTGCTGGGTAAAACTAAAATTGTGTGTTTTACAGGAAATTTTTACGCGGAAACTGGCTTGATGGAGTTAGCCTTCTCCTGCAAACTATCAAGCAAGCTCTCAAAACTCTTCTTAAAGGAGTCCACACCTTCAACTTCAAGTTTATCACCAACATACTTCCAGTCAACCCCCAACTTCTCAATGGCGCTGTAAATTCCCTCTGCCTCAGACACATTTGAGTCGATTGTCCTTGCAACGGAACCGTGATCGATAAATGCAAGAAGAGCTTGATCCGGCATGGTTGAAACCTGTATACAAGGGAAAAATTAGAAAAAGGACAAAATGACAACATTCATACCATTCATTTTGGAATATTAGTGAGACTTTCGACTAGGGGTGGACAATGTTTCAGTTCACATCTGGGAACCAGCACCGGAAAAGGGAGGACGGGAAACTGAACGGCGAGTCCACAACAGATTGATTATGGTTCCGGATTTTGCGTACCTCAACCGGCTGTTCCTATTGCAGGTCTTTTTTTATTCTTACGTACGAAAGTAATTAAAAACAGCTCAAAACCGGAACCGCTGGAGAACCCAACAGGACCCGATTCTCCCATTTCCAAAACCGAGGACTGCAACCAAACCAGTCCGTGTCCAAGACTAAAGGTGAATTTGTATATATATTTGACTTAACAGTGACAGACAGACAGACTAACTCACCGTGTCTGGTCCAATGAGAGGATCCACATACAAAGTGTCAGAATAGGCTGGATTCTTAACGCTGGTTGATGCCCAAAGCAGCCTCTGCTTTTTAGCACCTTTCTTCACCAGAGCCTCCCATCTTGGACCAGAAAATTTCTTCTGATACAGCTGGAAAGCCAAAGCAGCTTGAGCATTTGCAGCCTGTAATGTAAGTAAATAATGAAGTCAATAAAATTGTGCTGCTCCAACCTTGGAATTAATATCTTAAATCCACTCAGTTAATTTACCTTCCCACGAAGATCAAGAGCCTCTGGTGTTCCAATTTTCTCCAGCATCTTATCAACAAGTGTGTCTACACGACTAACGAAAAAGGAAGCAACACTTGTAACTTTGGAGAGGTCATCAAGGCCAGAAGCCTCAAGACCATCCAGGTAAGCATCGATGACTGCTTCATATCTTGCAAGCGAGAATATGAGCTGTACATATGTAGGGAAGTAACATCAGTGCACAAGTCAACAATGTAAAAGGGGAAAAAAACGGGTCAAGTAGGATTCGCTTTTTAAACATTACATAATACACCAAGTCACCAATACTGGGGTTTAAAACCATCACACATTTATGGACGAACAAGAACTCTAACACAAAGAACCTTCATAATTATTGAAATGTTTGAGCTCCACTGACTTTTTCATTTTGTTTTATTTATTCCACTTTTACTCTGTGTGAGGTTATCATGGGGCCACTTCATTGCAATAATCATAAAAACAAAGCAAAAAACATAAAGAAAAACCAGAGAAAAGCCAACTAAAGGTTCAAATGTCTAGCTTCTAAATACTTTGAGTTGAGCATAGTATAAAATTTTGTAATTCTTAACGAGCAGAATCATGAGATGAGGAATTTTCTTTGCAGAGTAGTTCAAACATTTGGGAATTTAAATAAAACATATGTTGTGAACTGTCAAAAATGTTTTGCTCTAAAATGTAAATGTCTCTACGAATGTCAAAGGAAGCTGCAATTTTGATTTGAAAAAGGGATAGAAAAATAAATAAATGCAGCATTGCATTGACACTGATACCATATGTTAAGATTTGTCAAAATGTCTTGCTCTAAAATGTAAAAATCTCTACGAATGTCAAATGAAGCTGCAATTTTGATTTAAAAAATAGATAGAAAAATAAATAAAACGCACCGTTACATTGACACTGATTCCATTTGCAATGACTTCCTTGATGGAAGGAATGCATGGGGCTGTAGCAGGAATTTTAATGTAGACATTACGCCTGTCAACCTTTTTGTGAAGCTTCTTTGCAGCCTCAACAGTACCTTCAGTATCATCAGCAAGTAGAGGTGATACTTCAACTGAGACATAGCCATCCCCTGCATCTGTTTCATCATAAATCTGCTCAAAGAGTTTGCACGCATCTTGGATGTCTTTTACCACAAGTTCCCAATACAGGCTTTTAATATCTTTCCCAGCTTGTACTAGTTCCCTGATGAGTGCAATGTGAATATCAGTTTATGATAGAGCTCAACTAGTTAATGCTTCAATGTACTGTTGTAGGACTTTGACTTGAGGCTAACGTTTGGGCAAGAACGAAAATTCCTCGATACACTAAGAAGGAGGGTCACGTTTGGTAGCATTAATCTGATTATGAAGAAGAAATAGCTTATGACTCTTTTTTTTCTCTAACAAAATCAGGATTCGGCCAAACAACTCTTACAAACAAGCCCTAAACTAATTTACCAGAATTGGTCATTGTAGGCACTTGAAGTAGATATAGCCTTCTGGAATATCTGCATACAACATATTAGCAAACTACTATTAGTAAAAATTTATCCTGAGCACACAGCAAAAAACAACAAAGGAATTAGAGCAATGTGGAATAAATCATTTTTACTTGTACTTAAAAAAAACCAAACTACTTATTAGAATAAATAACCAATCCTGAATAACACTTAAATCAAATAAATCAAACTACTTATTAATAAATCACCAATCATGAAGAAAAGTTTGATTTGCTTTTAATGTGGGGGGTACTTAATGAAAAGAGGGAAGGTTTGGGTCATAATAATTATTGAGGAAGCACTTTACCGCTGGATTGCTGGTAACACCTCTTACACCGCTCTCGATCAATGGAATTAGATCAGTAACAGGCCGACACAGGTTATCGTACCATGGGCTTTGCCCTTGCTGCTCATATAGATCATGCAGACTTGTTCTCTTGATTGGGATTTTATTTCCTACAGATTGAGAGCACCTAACACTGGAATTTGAACATAATCAGTTTTAAGA